TTTAGAAATTGTTATATCTCTAAACTTCTTGTCATATAGCTTACTATGACATCATATAGGCAAGTAGAATAGTTGTAACCCTAACATACCTGCGTAATAATGTAAAATGGGTGCGTTGCAAACTTTTGCACAAAGAAAACTCATTGTTAAATGTTTCTTTACAGTTGCTGTTAACAAGCCCGCGGCTATGATTTCTGTGTTCAAACCTGACTATCAGTTCGCCTCTAATGCAGTTGACAATATCACTCTATGTCCAACAGGGCTTACCACTGCACATACTCGCCAAGAAATTAACCCTTGGATGGAAATCGATCTGCAAGGCATTTTTGACATTGTGAAGGTTCTAATTTTCAACAGGCAGGATCAAAGCGGTGAATTTCTTTATTCTAATTAACCGATTGCAGAAAACAAAAATACATGTCTTATAAACACGATTTCTTTGTAAAAGATATATCAAATAGCTTTTTTGTATGTGTTCTACGAAGGATCGATCTATTTCCAAATCTTCCTGAAAATGAACTACTAGTAATTTGAAATGACAAATTTTTAATTAAAATTGATGCAAATAATTATGGTTGATTTACAGGATATTTTTATGAATATGGGTTGACATCTTAAAATTAGATAAAAATTTTATTTTTGGTATTCTGAAACAGAATTAGGTTGGGTTCTTTTTATTTTTTTTTTCTTCTTTTTTTTTTTTGACTTTCGTCACATTTTATGCTTTACTTATATGAAATTTATTTTTGTATGTTTTTTGATTCTAGATCTTGTATTTATAATACTGGACTCACATAATTGCAGTCTAAAGCTTATGCATTTTTTTACAGGAGATAGACTGCACGATCTGTCAATAAATGTTGTTGAAAATGGAAAAGAAAATGGATGCGGTTACTTTACAGGACCTGGAGTGACAGGTGGCCGCCTTCTTCTGTTCTGTACTTCCGGTTCCAGGGGAAGCCGCGTTAGATTTGTGATTCATAACCGAGCAGGGCAAACCGATATTTTAAATGTCTGTGAAATACAGATCTTTGTAGATCAGTGACATTGAATGTGTACTACCTGTGCAGTAAAAAAACTGCTGAATGTTTAAAGATTTCAGCCATATGTACTTGTAGAAAAATGAAATAAATGTATCGCTAATTGAATCGTTTTCTCACACATTATATGATAAGGACTCAATACTTTATGTCTTGACCTAAAATCACCTGGAATATACCGGTAGCCTCTATCAAGTCAGATCATTTGGAGGGACATGTGTCGGGTTTTTATTTCAATATATTGACCACATAAGAAGTTATTGATTCAATAATATATCCATTAATATGATGGGAAATCGACAACTTTTTTTGTAACTAATTTTAAGAAGTGCGTTCTCTACGAGATACCTAGTAGAAGGATGCCGGGTTTTTTTTCCTCTTCTGTACTAGGTTCTAGTAGAAATTATCCCATACATGGTTCATTACAGGGATGTTAAGGGATATTCGAGTACTCGACTACCGTTCGATCACACTGACTATCTACTTAACTTTCTTCGTAGGCTATTCTTTAAAAAATTGTGACTTCATATAAAGGTAGAATTCAGGTTAATAAAATTTGATCCTCGTAATCTATTTCAAAGCGCATCAATTTTCTCATGAATTAAACTCATTTATGTAACGCTACAGCAGTCTTAGTAAGTTGATCAAATGATATAATCTGCGTATCAATTTTTTGGTCAAGCATCAAACATGCCTTCAATATCTTAAGTTGAAAATACTTCTTTAAAAATATATCACGATGAAAAAAGTAATGTGACACTGAAATTGAATTCTGCAGTGATACAGAAATTGAACTACATCGATATCCGTCAAACGTATCACAAAATCTTCAGATAATACTTTACAAAAAAATTCTCCGCAAAGTGCAGAGCGGAACAATGTTTAAAACACAAACTTGTTTGTTCAAGATTATGTACTATTTTGTGGAAAAAACATAGGTGGATTTCAGGAACCTTTTTGCTAAGTGCAAAAATGTCAAATTATATATATCGTTGCTCTGAAAAATGCACATTGATCCTTAATTTTCTTTGCAATTATGAATCATGCTTTACAAGTTCTCATCCTTGACATATTATCCTTGATAAAACTAATTTCACGAGTGTAATACCGTAAAGTTCCAGCTCAGATATCCTATTCACCTTCAGAATTCGATAAAGGAATACTTTTCTATCTGGTTAAGTAGGTTACGAAGCAATTACGAGGGCTGTTCAATAAATAATGTCCTGGATGCTCGGAATGAAACAAAAACACTTTTCAATTATTAAGTCTTTTAAATTATTGCACTTAAATATTCTCTTTTAATTAAAACACATGTCCATAACATTTTATCCAAGTAATGATTGTTTTTAAAACATACGAGTATTTTTTTGTAAGGCCATTAGTATACTGGAATATGGCAGTTCCTAGGATTTTCTGTTAAAGATGTTAATTTCAATTGTGGAAAATGGAACTAGTCAAATTCTGACAGACTTAGCAAATATTTTTGTTGTGATATAAGCATGAAAAGAAACACTCCCTGTTTATACCCAAATCTCTTTACTCTTCAGGCCGTGCGGGTTTGAAGAAAGTAAATGTAGTTGTTTCCCGATTCAGGTTCCTTCCTCTCATAAATATTTTGATTTTTTTGTTAGAATATTTTGCTTTGTAGACTCCTCCAGAAATTTAACTGCCTCCCAGTATATGAATCTCAACACCAATACCATAAAAATTTAAGGAAATGGCATATAAAGCTGTCGTTGTGCTTTTGCAATTCTTTGCTCTTCTCAGACCTTTGTTGTTGTTGTCAAATGCATTCTGTTGTTAATTTTGTTTTGAAGATTTAAAGCAATGGATTCATATTTCATTATCTATTTAAATTTTAGACAAAAGTGGATAACTGATTTACTAAAAAAATATTTAGATATTCTTACACGCTGTCGTTTTACTCATTTTTCAAAAGATAGGGTGACCATTGAATTCTAAGCTTTTTTTACAGTCAGATGTTTCTTTAAAACAGTGTTATCTACCACTAAAATGATGCTTATTAAATTCGCTATGTGTCGTAAAGTCAATGAACCATCATCAGTGATTATTTGTCGAATTTTGGCAAACAGTTGATTTGGTTGATGCAAGTCCTTGTCTCCAAGCACATTACCAATTTCTGATGCCCATGACAAGTATATCATTTTTGTTCATTGAAATTTACTTGCTCATGTGTCTATAGAACAGCTATAGGTTTCTGTAAATTTCACATATTTCAGTGTAGATTTCTTTAGAATTCTTAACAAGTTTTACTTCAGCTTTAATGAAGCGTTTAAATTAAAGGACATTATTGAACAGCCCCGCGCTACATATTTTATTATAGATATTTCAGCACTTAAATTTAAAGGCCATACATCTTTGATATGTAAGAACTCTTTAGCTATATACATTTCCATTTCAAACAGTAAAAGCTATAGACTGAGATAATGAAGTACGGAAATTATCAGATGTATATTTTCCTCACTATGCCCATTTGTTACTGCAATATTCATTACTATCAAGGACAATTTAATCTCAAAGCATATGGGTCACTGACAGAAAACTTCAAAGTTTTGTTTTCAGCTGAAGGAACCACTTTATTATCCGCCATCAATAAATGTTCAAAATTTTGTAGCGGTGACCGACGCTGCATTGGGATCGAGTTATGTACAGTTAGAGAAGACTTGTATAGATGCAGGGTTTGCTGTGAGTGGTTACGATTAACAGAAACCCCATATTTGTATAGTAATTCACAGGAATGTAAATACATGGAGATGGTATGTATATAATCATATATTCATATTTTCTTAAGATTAGTGTAGATAGAAAACGTTAGCACTACATGAGAAATATGCCTAGGTACAACTTAGTGTGATTTACAAACCAAAGATTCATATAAAGCCAAAAAACTTTAATTACAGATACAATTAACATGTCTTAAAGCACGAAAGATTTGCCGAATGCATGAACTTCTACATTATTATTATTATTATTATTATTATTATTATTATTATTATTATTCTTTATTGCTTAATACATACGTATCATCACAATTTATTACAAATATAATTGAGAAAATGAAATTGGAATGGTATGGTATTAATACATGAAGAAAACAGCGCCTATAATAAAGTCAATTGGTGTGGCGCGTCTATACATTAGATAAAAAAAACTTTGAATCACATAATAAATGCTAATAAATATACTGATATTATGATTGGACAAACGAAGAATGAATCACATTTTTTCATCTCTTAACTTAAAAGCTAAATGCAGAAATATACCTAAATTACAAAGCTCAGAAAAGTTTTGTACACTTAATAATTGGACTAGTTTGAATGCAGACTGTTTTTTTCAGTAATAACTTTTAATATATTTACTTCTCAAGTCCTTGTATAGGGGACAATTAAAACAAAATGAAATTCGTTTTCTATGATATTTTTACAAAATTCACAAAATCTTAATTCCTTCACAATATTTTTATGCCTGCCAGTTTCAATTGCAAGGTTATGGGAAGACATTCCAATTCTACTTATTTGTTTTTTTTTTATAAATATTAGGTATTGACTTTCTTAAATATTATTACAAGGTTAAATAATCTACAATGTGTCTGTAAAAAATACATTTTGTTGAACAATTAATTTCTGCCATGAGATTTTGTATGAAATTATCTGTTATTCTTTGTTTGATTACAGGAAATTGTTTATAAATCATTTCTTTGTCTTGTTCAAGCCAGATAATTCCTAGTCCATGCCCTTAGAGTTTTTGTTTGATATTTACAACCCAATTATCAGTGTGTCTGCCGGAATATTCACATTCATTGAACAAATATTCATAACACATTTTCAAAATACAATTTTCAGTTTTTAACAGCTTGAACCAAAATTTAAAAATGCGAAAAATGCGAACAATTTTCATAGGCAGTCTACCAGTTTCAACTTAAATCATGGCAGTATTTGTGCTCCTTCTAACACCTAAAACATATTTAATAAAGTCCAAGTGCACTTTTTCAATATCACCAGCATTATGTCCACCCCATATTTCACAACCGTAATTCAATATGCTTGCTACATAAGTATCAAAAAGTGAAAACATTTTCTCAGTATTTAGATACATTTGGCTAATTTTTGATTTCTGCAATCATTGAAAACATTGCTTTTCTACCCTGGATTGCCAACTGTTTTTGTGTATTATTAAATTTTCCATTATAATTCAAAAGTACACCGAGATATATAAATTGGCCAACAATTTTAATTGGTTTACCATTTAAATGCGGCCATTTTTCTTCCATACGTATTTTACCTCCGTTTCTAAAAATAACAATTTTTGTTTTCGATATATTAACAGACAGGTTACATTTCGTAGAATAATCATTTAGTGTATTTAGCATTCTTTGAAGCTCATCTATCGATTCTGAGAAAATAACCATATCATCTGCATACATTAAAACAAATAAATTCAATTCTTGTAAATCAACTGGCAGATTTACTTTGGAAACTTCTGTCTTCAAATTTATTGGAAAAACCACCATTTATGTTCCAAGATAATATTTTTAGATTTTCTTGCACTAAGCTGCATACATTCTTCTGTGTGTCCTATCTGTGCTGTATCGTTTCCCAGTCTACGTCGTCTTCTTGTTGAATGTCTTGGGGTTCCAACGGGTCATACTCTTCTCCGTCAATGATCAGTTTGTTTTTGATGAGTTTTGCTGTCTTGCCCCGTAACCTAGCTTCATTCAGTTTTGGATGTAACTGCTTTCGTTGCTCATTTATTTCTTTCGGATACTGTTCCTGGATCCTGTACGGTGAGGATGACAGCTTTGTAGCTTTTTTCCTTATCATTTCCCTCCCCCTGAATGAAGTGAACTTAACCACGATAGGTCACGGGTTTGTATTTTCTCGGTTAAACCGTCCAATCCTGTGCGCTCTTTCTATCTGTTGTCTGACATTTGGGGTTTCCAATTCCGTCTTACAGAAATCGTTTATCAGTCTCACATAATTCTCCCTCCAATTTCCATTATACTCAGCTAGCCCATAGAACAACAATTTATTTTCCATACTTCGGCACTTGAGGTCCATGATAGAATCCTCAATATTTTTCTGTGACTGTTTCATTTGTTCTACTTCTCTTTCCATTTCATCGGTTTTCTTTTTCAAAGTCCCCATGGTGTTCCCCATGTTACCTGTTATTTTCTTTAAATTGTCGATGTCCGATTCAAAGGTATTTAACCGTTGCGAAATGCCCCAGATTTTTCTATGTATTTCATCAACCTTGGTCAATTTTTTATCATTCTGCAATAGTTTGTCAAATATTTCATCAACCCATTTTGGTTTCATTAGGGATTGGAGAGTGTTTGGATTTGTATGGGCGGGGGGAGGCGTCATGAATTCACTTACACGAACCTGACTTTCTACTGGTTTTTATGTATCATTTCCTGATTTTTTTTTTCGCTGATATCCATTTTACATTTCTCAAAACCATCTTCATCATTGCCACTACCTGTATTCTCATCGTCCATACCTTTATTCGTACTGTGTATTTCGACAGACTCATCGTGACCACTGTCCGCCATGACAGCCGTAATCACCCCTTTGTTTGGACTAACGTAAGTTTTATGACGAACACACTTTGTTGGGTTACTATTTTTCCTCTTGCGCTTGGTCCTGATGGTATATGGCATATTCTAAACCATGTAAACTTCATAACAAACCGCGCTTTTCATATCAAATCAATTTACTTACTCAGAACTGCGAGCTGTGAGCTACTGACCAGTCCGCTATACCAACCGGAAGTTGGTTTCAAGATAACATGTAGCTGCCATATATCGTTATATTTTACTAATGACTCTGTATCCTCATCATGACGTCACTTTATGGTGTGTTTTTCTATGATTAATTTTATAAAGAATATGATATAATTTATTTATTTGTTATGCCTTCATTTTTCAGAGTGATGAAAAATCTTTAAATGGTAAGAATAATCATCATCTTATATATATATTTAAAGAAAAAAATCTCTGTGCTCTCTATGTTTTTCTTCCCCTGTTTCACGAATAGATTGATTCGTAATTAAATGTTAATTACTGCAAATTAAAGAAGAATGTTGATAAAACAGTTTTTTTGCCCCTCGAGAACTTAAACGATACTTTGTAGATAAACTTTTTATCCTTCTAGAAATATAAGGATAATTAAATAATGCTACTTATTTTAGGCGATTGATTTTTTTAAAGCAGTATTTTGGTAGTGTTTTAGGTGTTATATTCCTTTTTTTTTTAAAAAAAACATTTATCCACTATTAAAGTAATTATTTCAATGGTGGGCGCATTTCCGTACTGATTGCATACTATTTTTTTACTGAAACGCACTCTCAATCACATTTGAAATAATTATTTCAATAGTGTCTGCATACTATGTTTGTTATTGAAATTCACTCACTACATTTGAAATAATTATTTCAGAAGTCAGTGTTTGTATTTCAATAGTGTTTGAATACTGAAACGCACTCTCAATCACATTTGAAATAATTATTTCATTAGTGGTCGTATTTCAATAGTGTTTGCATACTGAAATGTACTCACTACATTTGAAGTAATTATTTCAATAGTGCTCGTTATTTCAATAGTGGATGCAACAAATCGGCCTTATCAGTATTTGCTTTTCAATTCAAGTTTATAAAGAATTTTTAAGACTAATTAATCATAATTCATTCGAATTATTTAAGCGTTTCAAATTTCCTGGCATTAATTCTGTCTTAAATCTATCTAAAGTTACAATGAAAAGATTAATCAATAATTTAACTATTGACCTATGCATTTAAGCAAAATTAGGCCATATGCAATAATTGAGTTTGCATTTGTTTTAAAACTTCTGCTTTTCTTGAGTGAAAAATATGGTAAATGAAAATTTGGTTTATCTTTAAAATTGTGAACATATTGCACTTTATCATATAATCATTATATCAAATATTTTATTGTGGACATATTTCTACTCTAAAGAAATACCAGTGACGTTATTTGTGAATACTGTTACATGTATAATAACCTTACTGTAAAATTGATATGTGAATTCACATATGTTTCTTCTGCACTACCTTTCGTAAAAACTCCATTAAATTTGCATTTTAAAATTTTTTCTGGATCTTGAATTTACATTTCTTGGCACAATGACGTGCAAAATCACTTAAATAGCCTATAGATCAATTCATTTGCATACTCTATATATTTGGTTTTATTTTGTGTCTCAAAACGATTTCTGTTCAAGAATCTTTTGTTGTCGTTGAACCATTTCGTTTGGTTTTTGATCGATTTTCTCAGATAAAATGAAATATATCAACGATATATCTAAACAGTAATACTAACAGCAACAAAATATTATTTTATTTTAATTAATTCTAGGTCCCATATGCATGATATGGTTAGAATAAATGCACTGAATTCGTAATTTAGAGATTTCTTTTTAGCTGAATTGATAATTAAAATTTAAGAAGAAAAATTATGACATTTTGCATTGTTAAATATTACTTTACAGTTGCTGTTAACAAACCAGCGACTATGATTTCGGTGTTCAAACCTAATTATCAGTTCGCCGCTAACGCAGTTGACAACATCACTGTATGTCCAACAGGGCTAACTACTGCACATACCGGCTGGGAAATTAACCCTTGGATGGAAATTGATCTGCAAGGCATTTTTGACATTGTGAAAGTTCTAATTTTCAACAGGCAGGATCAGAGTGGTGAATTTTAAAGTTAAATTATATATGAGAATTTTCTTTTGTTTTAAAGATACGCTTACATTTGCGTAAAAGATATGACCATGACTTTTCTAGCACTTTTATCCATTAATCGTTTTATATAAGCTAAATATTATTGATGACGAAAACTTTCTCAGTCGCCAAAATTCCATTATGAACTTGGATTTAAGGACGCCCTAAATGCTGCATGAACATTTAAGAGCTTTTTTATAGAGTGATCTGCATGCCCTTAAGTGTAAGATTAAACAAATTGTTATATACAGTTAATTACATGATTTGTAATAGATTAAGATATTTTTGGCATTATATATAAGACTAAGAGTAAGTTTAATTAAGTATTTTCATTAATTTTTGCAAAGTAATTAAATAACATCTTTCTGCTCAAAAATAGTCTATTGTCTTTGAAAATTCTTCCAGCGCAAATAAGGCACGTACTCTATCTTCTAAATGAGTGAAAAATTCTCAATATGCATATCTTAATATGATAAATTTTCTCTGAGTACAAAAACAGTTTTTGTTAGTGATTAGAGCTTCCTTAAAATTGAAAATTTATAATAGTTTGTTCACAGCATATTTTTAATGCATATTTTTTACATTTTTTAAAATTTAAAAACATATTTATATTCTGTTTGCATCAGTTGGAGTAAATTCTGTCCAATCTTTTAAAACATGCTATATTTTACTTATATGAAACATAAATCGTTGCATTTTTTGTTTTAAGATAGTGAACGTATATCATTGCAATCTGAGACTTTTGACTGTTTTCTAGCTTTAGGACATAGACTGCACGACCTATCGATAAATGTTGTTGAAAATGGAAAAGAAAATGGATGCGGTTACTTTGAGGGACCTGGAGTGACCGGTGGCCGCTATCTTGTGTTCTGTACTTCCGGTTCCAGAGGAAATCGCGTTAGATTCGTGATTCATAGTCGGCCAGGGCAAACTGATGTCCTAACTGTCTGTGAAATACAGATATTTGTAGATCAATGACATTTCATTTGTACTGCTTGTACAGAAAAAATACTGAATGTTAAAGGATTTCAGTCATAATAACCATGGGATAATAAAACATATAAGTTGCTGTCCAAATTGTATTTTTATACATTATATTTAGACTATAATTATATATATATATATTCACGTATATGCCCTCAATTCAATGCATGGCAATAGCATATTCTGCAGAAATGTGTGCTTCTGATACCGATTGTGTCACGTAAAAAAATGTTCACTTCGGAAAATATGGAGATGAAAACTTTTAACAAGCTCAAAAAAAAAAATCAGAGCAGGGTAAACAAAGATCCCTAAAAATTAATACGATTGAATCACGTGTCATGGAGATGTAAGAATCCCCAGTGGGCCGGTCACACGTGGCGTGTGCTCTTAGACATAATCGGGGCAATGAAATTTAATAAATCCTAGACAATTCGGTGTGTTAGCATTGGCCTAACTGCTGAAAAAGTCAGTCTGTTTCCACTTGGCGATTTATTCTATTTAAGCGTGTGATTGACTAATTTATCGTAAAACTAGAGATTTTGCAGAACGTTGATTTAAAAAAAATTGTTAAAATATTTTTTCATTAACTTGAATGTCAAAATATTGCCTAATTTAAAAAAAATGACCCGTAAGTACAGTGTGCTTTTGTTTATAAACTCGAATAGGAGATAAAATTTAAACTCCTTATGCAGGTGATAACAGTTTATTGTTACATGAATAAAGGAAGTTGACAAAGAAAAGTTTAAGTCTTACAGGTTTTTATCATTATGTTACCACATATTAAGATAGTTTTCAGTAAAATATCCAAATATAAAACAGCTATATTAATCGGATCCTGTGGTATCCTTTATTTCGATTTTAAAGGATCGATATATTTAATGAATTAACGTAGGGATGAATACTAGCTAGTATTGTTATATGATAAAACTTTGTCGATATACATGTACCAGTCTATAAAATTTTGAAGATGATAGCTTGGGACCTTTTTATTCCTCTTGAACGTTTTAAAGGATTTCACCATCATAGAAACACAACAGACGGTCTTCAAATTAACATAATTGTAATGTGGTAACGCGCGAATGGCTCTACTGGAATTCTAAGACATCCATAGAAGATTTGATCTCCAAATACATGTACTGAGCCTAACAAACATGAATAATTCTTTTACCTGGTTTGTAAGTTGAAACCTCAGGGAGCAGTACATATTGATTGTTTTTGCCTACTTAATAAGTACTTTGATCATTTCTGAATTATTGAAGAGAGAAAGACAGAAAGCAGAACGCAACTTAAAGATACATTTAAAAATAAGGTCAGCAAAACTTGTTACACACTTGTATCTTATATGATACAAGTGTTCATATGCGCTTATGAACTAAAAAATGACGAAATAACAATATTTAGTGTTTTGGTCTGAAATGGGTTGAAATACCGGCTCTGTTCAGACATGCAAGGTCTCGGCTTCTGATTTCAATATGATGACCACATATGAAAATGGATTCAATATTAGATTTATTGTATACTGGAAAATCTACATGACATGTAGCTACCTTTTATTGAAATAAAAAAAGATGATACGTATGCTGTCTACTACAAACCACCCAGATTTTTTCTCTTCTGTGACAGGTTCTGGGTCCAGAGATAAAATATCAAGCGCATGGTTTATAGGTATCCAGAATGAGGACGTGTTAAACATGCCAGTAAAATTGCATGACTAAATGCGGAATAGTTTGGGAATACCGTATAAGTGGAAATTTTAGCGAGGATTTAATTTTGGCATTATTAGCGAGGCTTTTAAGATCGCTAAAATTGAATATAGCTAAAAATTAATTGCGTGTTATTTATACTAGCTTCTTTAGTGGGCATTTTACTTCTCGCTAAAAATAAAATACCAGTTTTTAAGGAGAAATCGCTTAATTTGTGTCTCGCTAAAATTTCCACTTATACGGTATAACAAATGTTAGATGCAATGCAATACTTTTGCATTTTTCTCTACCTTAAAAAAATTGTCTTGACAAAATTAAATATAGTCATTGTTGTTAAGAATTAAAAAAAAATATCCTTCTTATCACTACAAATGTTTTGACACAGATCAGAAACTTTTCAAAGTACATTTACTCTTTTGCATACAGCTGAAATATTATCGATCATGATTATACTGGATAAAGTAGGTAGGGATCAAAGAAATTTGTATTCCTTTAATGCACCATGTAAAAAAAAGAGATTGCTCTTTAAAAGAAGTAGTTTTGACATTTTATTTATAAAATTATAGAATCTAACGAAAGAACAAAACTTATGTTGATGAATAAGACTTTCCGAAAACGCATACATCCTTCAGTCACATAAGTTCCATTTTAGCAAATCTGTAACCATTCAATGTATTTACGTGTGTTAGAATTCTTCGTCTTTTCCAATCATATACATTTCTTGTAAATATGACCTCCCTTCGAAGAAAAGAAAACAACCTATATACTCTATGTCTCTTTGTGTATTTTACATTTATCCCCAATTGTTGGGCCAACAATCAATGCATATATGAAAAACATAATAGATTTGACTGAATATATTTTCTCAGTTTTTCACTCATTATTGAAATACTGATCTACATTAGTTTAGAGGAGAAGTTGATGTCCAGACATTTTCACTAAGGGGAAAGTGCATCCTAGGACGCTGTTCCTCGATAGCTTGAGTACAGTCATGTCAGCTCGTGGTGTAGGGGAAATAATTCAAAGTATATATAATCATTATCTCTACCTTCCTTTATTCTTTGGGAGCATGGTTGGCAAATAAATTATTTCTAATCCTTGCATTGTGTAGTATAAAAAAACCATAAAAAAGAACATTGGACGAATAAATGTATGTACCAAGATTTGATTTAGTGTGACAATATGTTAACTGTCACACAGACGTAAATATCCCCCTCTGTTCCAAATTTCATTTTTATTTTCTAAGGCCCCAATAATTATTTTCTAAGCAACAAAAGCATTTATGATTCAAATGGAAAATAGTTTAAAGCATGAAGCGTTCCTTCCTTTTTTCAGAACTGAATATTATAATTTGTTATATTGTATACTGGTGTCTCATAATATCGCGGTACTTAATCCTTTTGCATAAAAAGTGTAATTCCAAATTTTTACCTTAACTTTCATCAAATACTATCCATAAACCAATCTATGGCCTAACTTTTTAGTGTCAAATTATTGCTCAAGTTCGCATTGTTTAATTTGTTGTCTATTTTAAAACGGGAAGTCTTATTTATCTCCTAAATTGGAGAGTCTCATAGTATCGTGGTATAGGAAAACATGGAAACTTGTGGCTGACATGGAATTCAATTTTTATTTTTATATTTACGGTGTAATTCTACATAAAAAATAAACATTTACACAAACTAAAGACTTTCGAAACATGAACTTTATTATGGCTTCTACTAGGTTATAAAATCAATGATCTAAATATGACAAAAACGGGAATGAAAATCTGTAAAATGACGTTTTATTTGAATAAAAAAATTACCAACGCATGTTCTATACTTTTTAATCACCACAAAAGTTTACATTCGGACGACAAACAGATAGTATTTTAACAGAAAGGATATGGGCTATGTATACATCAGAATTTTTGGAATATCCCTAATGTAGATTTTCTGCAACTTCCATGGAATTCCAAAGCATATTCCATGGGATTCCATGGAATTTTTGTTCCACAGAATACTTAGGAATTCTTCGGAGTATTGGGACGGAACGTTTCCGGAATGGTATGGAATTTTAAATCTAGCCTGGAAAAGAGCGGAACAATGCCAGAATAGAAATTTGCGGAGGAAATCCATGGAATTCCAGATTATTTGTAAATTTAAAGAATTCCATGGAAATCCGTGGAATTCCAGGAAAATACAATGAAAACTGTATAAGTGTTAAATAATTACAAAAAAATTGATAACATCACAATTTTTCATACATCAAATCTATATTGCAAAATAAAAAATTCACTGTTCCTTTTACAATGTTTTTGAGGCAAATATTGCATATACCTCTCAGATGTACAATATAAGCACACTTTTTAAACGTATTCTCACTGAAAGTATTTAACATCAAAGGTTATTAACAAAAATATCCAGAGAAAAATATGATTCTAGAGGATCGCCTTGGGTAAATTATGTTATGATATACATGTACATGATATAGTAAACTAAAGTCTGCATTTTTTTTTAATTAAGATGTTTGTTTCATTAATTGACATTGGCCAAGGATTGGAAAGGTCATTAAAACTCAGAAGGGTATACATTTACCATGTTTACAATGAACTGCCAGTGCCTCATGTACATTTACTTTACAAAGTTAGTGACTAGAGTGACAAACACATACTTATTAAATGCAAAAAAAATGTACTACACAACTATATTGATACAAAGATCCCATAAAATAGACAGTTGCTATTTTCCCCAAATGTACGTTCCAAAGATCCCATTTATGGAAGATCCAAAACTTCTCACGTGTTTGCTAGAATCACTTCCTCACTGATATATCCCATGAATTTGCAATTTGAGGGTTGACAGATAATTGGTGTCACCAACGGATTCACTTTTAGTACAAAGGCTCAGCAAGTTCGAAGTTGATTATTCCAACGGACACTTCAAACTTTCTATCCTTACATGATTTCTGAAAGAAAAGATGACCATTCAGATGTATCATTATTGATATCAATATAAATATAGTATGACAAATTATAAAATAAAGCTCTACAAAACAATTGGTTCTTTCGACCTAACTGATCAGTTAACTGTAGATTATGTATTCATTATCTTGCAATTTTTTTGTTCAAATAAGGAAATTTATAAACAACAAACACCAGTCACTGATGAAAAAAATCACTTAGGCCTTAAAATAGCTCAGGTGAGCTAAAATGAAAAGGTTAGAGCTCAAGCTCAATGCCTGACTAACACTGAAAAGATAATTTCAATTCATGTGATTTTATTGATTAAGAAAATAATTAAGAAATCTGACCTACTTTTTTTCATACAGCACTAAATGTTCTTCTTTTGAGCATCCGGATTCCTGTAAAATGCATGTAACTTCATAGAAGATGATAG